GTTTTTTTTGTCTCTCCCATGTGGTTATTCCTCTCTCCTACAGCGTCTATTATAGTTACATGCAAATTGACTATTATGCAAATGTGGTGATGACGTCATGTAGCGACTTCCAGCGACTTTTAGGACAACCAATAGCTACTTTCCTTACTGGGGAGGTGGCAACACTGGAACACTGAAACCAACTCTACTCTTACACTGACTTGTTACAACCCCTCATCTTCAAATACAGAGCAGTTGTTACCAATGTTAACAATCACAAGTCGTTTTCTAATGCACAGAATAAAACAAGCATTCCAGGACTTTCTGAGAAAAACCCTATGTAAATAAGGTTAACTTTGTAAGAATAACGTATACTGAAACGTTAGGTAACCAGTAGTAAAACACACATAAAAGTGTGGACAACATATCTACAACAAATAAAAATGCTGTTTAAGGAACATAAAAAGATCCTTACACAAAAATCAATGTGTTTACAGTTGGTTATTTTCACCACATAGTTAAATATCAATTTTCACTGTTTTGTCCCAGGAGAAACGCTATAATAAGCTAAACTAAGCTAACTGTGGCCACTCACCAGTCAGCAATATATTAGCTACAATCTGCTAGCTAATTGGCTTCCCCACGAGATTAAGCTTTCTGTGGCGTGTTCGTGGAGCTAAAGCAAACATTTACGTGGTGTTTCCAGAAGTTTCAATCTGAATAAATGAGCAGCTTTTTACCTTAGAGGCGTTCTAACTTCTGCAAGTGTGGAACTGAGGATCCGCATCAGCGTCCGGCTCAGACCGGCATCAAGTTTACACAAAACAGCACACTTCCTATTTCCGCTTACGGATTTTCACCATAAAGGCCCTATTAATCACATTTCCGACAGGAAACGGAGAAGAAAATATTCAAATAAAACATCGACACCACACCGTAAAAATACTCCATTAGAAGTAAAAGTCATGCAATGAAATTCTTAACCAACGGTTTTCAACCATAATCTGAAAAATGTTTAGATATAAAATAATGTAATTCGTGACATGACGGTGTTATTTAATATATCACTAGATGATTATTACTGATGCATTAATGTAAATCACAACAGTTTTATAGCAATAAGCAGAATTTTACTGTACTCTGTCGAGGTGCAGCTAATTTTTAACCACAACTAACATTTAACTGTGTTTTAGTATGTTATAACCCCTCACGACCTCACCAAGCTAATGACATATCCAACTCCATCATGTGAATTACTAAGTGCATGTTTGAAGTTCACTGAGGAAAATACTATTGCCCTACTTTTTTGTATTGTTGTTGTAATGCTTTGTTGCCTTAAAGTAACTTTTTTATTTTAAGACTTCTAAACATCATTATATATTATTATTATCATCATAGCCTATGAGGTTGTACCATTTAGTTGTATCCTAATCACTTTTAGCTTTCTATTCTATTTGATTCTATTTTTACTCTACGTTTATTCTATTGTAGTTTCCTAAATGGTATGGCATTCAATACTAGGTGAGAGAGAAACGGTATTTCGATTTTCGAATTGACAATAAAAATCTTTGATCTTGATTATTATTTTGCTGTTTAATTTCACTGTATATTTAAATTTTTTATGTACATTTGACTTTTTAAGGGGATTAGATTACTGGTATAAAGTCTTGTATATTGTTCTGCTATAAATTGCAAATGTTGAAGTTATAGCCTACTTTAACTGCTCCAAACACTTTTTAATGAAAGGAAGTTAAAACTGTTTGTCTATTTTTGTTTGTATTGTCTGGACAATACTTAGACTACAAGTGAAAAGTTTGAACACATTTTCCCCATTCATTTCAAAGTGAGCCTGTGTCCAAACCCTTGACTGGTAGGATAAACTTTGATTAATCTTATAATGATGCTGTAGTAACCTGCTGAAAACCTAACAGCCTGACAAGTTATAGCTAAAGAAATCGGTTGCTTTTACTTTTCTGCATGTAAATGCTGATCCTGATGAGAGCCCTAACATGATCCTGATATCCGAAAGTTCAGCTGAAGCGAATATAACGCTATAAACGTCTCAGATAGTAAAGTACTTTGAGAGTTTAGGGCCTTTTGGTGAAAAATTCACTCTTTCTGTTTCCAGACTGTGTTTCCTTGATGGCAGCAGGGGTTTAGTAATATAAAGCTGGAATTTCTTACAAAAAAACCCCAAGGAACGTGTAGAAAACAACTCCCTTGAAAACGTCTTCACCTGACGCTATCAAGATGCGCCGGAAGGAGAGTTGTTAGCTCTAGTGCTATCAGTTGTCAGTGAGCTTGGTGCACCGGGAGCTCAGGTCTAGAAGCAAGACGCACCAGACTGCTAAATACAGTTTGATATCGTCCAGCTTTGGTTGGGTGGGTGCCATTAGTTAGCATTGAGCTCTACTCAAGCAGACTTTTCAGTTACTGTAAGTCATAGTAACGAATCGGGCAGCTTTACTAGCTAACCAACTAACAATCCCTTTGCCTGGCGTCATTTCCTACTTTTGAAACTCGCGGCCATAAAGTCACGAAAAGACATGGAACTACAAGGTATACCTAGATTTATGAATTCTTTACCAGCTGTTATAATGTTCCGTTGTTATTTCTGTTTATAAATCGTCTGTCTGCTCTGACAACCCATTAGTTCTGCGTTAGCGGTCATCTGTGAGTAGTGGTAGGTATTTTGTAACTGCGGGTTATAAATTGTTTATCGAAGCTGCCTTGTTCACCAGTGGTGGAAGAATTCCTCATATCTCTTACTGAAGTGAAAGTAGTAGTATCACAGAATAGAAATACTGTAATAAGGCCGGCATTCAGATTTTTACTGAAGTATAAGTAAAAGAATTAGCATCAGTAAATGACTAAGTTACTCACCATGTAGCTTGGCCATTTCAGAATAATGCGTGGTATGTCTTGTATTTATATTTATTGATAGATTAACAGGTGATAAAGGGGATTTTACAAACGTAGACCTAATTTTAATTACTTTACATTAAAGCTGCAGCAATTTGCGTTTTCGGTGCGTGGGCCCATCACAAATGTCAGTCCAGCCAATCACAGAAGTTTACTACGACTTGAGCAGTCCACCCTGATGGTGGCTACCCAGTTTGAACCAGTCTACCTGTCCCTGTCTGTCAGTGGGAAGTGAACCGATGACACTGGGCTCTCCCACCTCTCCTAAGCCCACCTCTGGAGCTCAGTTTCTGCCTGGCTTCCTGATGGGCGACCTGCCAGCTCCAGCTACCCCCCAGCCACGTGCGTTCAGCTTGTCCACGCCCATTGCAGAGAGCACAGGTAAGAACTGAAGTCAGCAGGTAAACACACTTGCTAGCAGATCAGCTGATTGCTGTTTGTTAAGTAGATCTATGAATAAATGTGTCCTGTCCTACACTCCAGGCGGAGGAGGCTCTGCCCCGCAGCCTGTTGTTCCCACCCCCAAAGATAAAAGTGGAGCCCCACCTGTTCGCAGTATCCATGATGACCTGGTTACTGTGGTGACGCCCCTCCATGCACATAGGCAGGTTAGTATACAGGCCTGCTGGCAGTGGTGTGTCGGTGGTTACTCTGAGGTAGGGGGGCTTTTAGATTCACTACTAGTACTTTGAGCACAGCTCCCAGGAGTGGTTATGAGATGCTTGATGAATGAAACCTGGATGACAGAAACAGACCCCCTGTGACCAACAGTTTTACAATGCAAACAGTTTAAAAGGACTTTGAAGTAAAGTTCAAGTTACTGTGTAATCCCTAAGATTTTAATGAAGTGCTTTGTTCTGCAGTCACCAGTCAGGTAAAATGTAATTGTTTTATAGGGATTCAGTATGTGGCTTTTGCTTAATATCTTGTAAAAATGCAATAATTTCCTCTGATCTTACAAAGGGTGCATCAGGATATTTTTATCCACAAATGTTGACCTGACATAAAAATTTCTGGAACCACTGACAAAGCGTTTGTTTGGGAACCTTTCAAAAATGTTTTAAACATTTTTATACTGTTTCTCTCTCTCCAGTCTTTCCCAGTCATGCAGTCTCCTCTGTCTGTGCGTCAGGCCTCAACTCCGGGAACAGGTACACACAGCTACTACGGGTACTACCCATTTTACTGCTGAGAGTACTGGTTTTAGTAGTGAGACTGGAACATATACTGACACTGTTGTTGATATAGTGTACAACAAAGAGTAATTTTTGGCCATATTGTCAAATGTTAAGTGTTCAAATTAGAGTTATTTATGGGCATTATTGGTTTATATCAGTGTAAATGGGATTCAGTTGTTTATTGTAGAAGTGAGGTTTTAGTGTTAAAGAGAAATAAAGAGAAACCTCAAAGCACGATCTTTGATCTTTCAACGTGACGTCCCTGTGCACATGGTCAGAGGGCAGAGAGCCAACAGATTATTTGCATCACAGCTGTTCAGTAAAGCACTGAAAGGATGTGTGTGTCAGTGTTATAGCCCATCTCGGGCTGGATGTTTGAGGCTGATCCATATTTGAGATTTTATGAAAATAAGTCTAATAAAGCCAGTAGGTTTTGTTTAACATAAATAAACCATCTTGACAGAGACTTTTTAAAAAGATTTTTGGCTAAAACGCACTGGTCACAACAGTTAACAGTGTAAACACTAATTGATCAGTTGTGTAAGGCAGACAAACTGATCAAGGCCACTCGTATAGATAATATAAGAGTTTAATCATACTTAGCAATGGAGCATTAATACACACAATATGGCTGGATGAAAAGAATGCTCAGAGAGGTAGTCTCTGTTGAGGTTCATTTATACATTAAGACCTAACAGTTGTGGTAAGTTCTGTGTTGTAAAATGGGGTGTGATCACAAACATTTCTACACATCTGCAGTCTGACTGCTCATGAGAACTGCATAGCTGTAAGCGTCACACGATCAGAGAAACGCATTCAGTAGAGAACATGCAGTATCTACAGTACGCCTACGAGATGTATAATAATTATACTATGGGTCTCTAGGTCAAGGTCAAAGGTCAAAGTGTTTATTTGTCATATGCACAGTTAGGAAATGTGTTTCCCTGTATAATGAAATTCTTACTTTGCCGTCCACATGAATGCCACAAAATACAAGTGAAATATAAAGTAGATGAGCAATAACACAAATCTAAGGCACTTTAAAGCAGCAAGTGAAGGGAGCAAATAAAAATGCAGGAACACAATATAATGCAGAGAGAATATATGCTACGTGGAGTGTAAATACTCAGCAGTGAGTGTGCAATTGTGTATGTGCAAACTGAGGATGTAAACAGTACAGGTCGTCAGTACATGACGCATTTCCTGGTGATAAACTCCTGTCAGCTGTTTAGGAGTCTGATGGCAGAGGGAAAGAAA